ACAAACTGCTAGTTTAGGCATTTAAATTATCCTCAATATTGTTAAAAGATGCAAACAAAAACCATTTATCACTTCAGCATTTTATAAGTGAAGTTTTATATACCATTGGAAAATATTTCCAATTTTTTTTTCCTTTTTTGTTTTTTTATGGTTAATTGTTGAATTATTAGGAGGAGGAAATTTTTGAAATGATTTTAAAAGGAAAAAATTTTAATGATGTAATAATGCACAAAATATGTATCAATATTTGTTAAACAGATTTTTTTTTTTACTGAAATTGGATGTCATAATTTACTGCTTCCTCTTAAATTTTTTTTTCCACCTAAGGTTAAAAAAATTTTTATAAGTGTGTGAAAATTTCATTTTTTTTTTCAATTTTTGTCAGATTTTTTTTTGGAGGAGCAAGCAATAGGTTTAAATTTTTTTTTTTCTTTTTTGAAAATAAAAGCGTAAATATCAAGTAAATCAATGGAGTACTGAAATTAGTAAAAATAGAATTATAGAAAAGTAGAAAATATTCGATTATTTGTTTAACTGTTACAAATTAGATAACTTTTTATTTATACGAATGACGATTTCAAAATTTCATTAAAAATTCAATTTATTTATACGAATAACAATTAATTTCGAAACAACAATTAATTTTAAAAATTCAATTTATACATTGTTTTTGCATGCTAAGTTTATTAACTTTGCAAAATATTTGTTTGTTAAAATTTTAATATTTCCGGACCAAATTAAAATTTTTTTTTGCCGAATGCTTAAATTGACATAATTGAAACAAAAATTGATTAATATAATTTATTATTTGCTGAAGAATGCAAATATTTCAAAAAACAAAATTAAGAAATTGGTTTATTTTTTGACATCAATGGAATAGGCATTTTGTGCTGAGAAATGTACTGAAAAAGTATTTCACTAAAATTGGCTTACAAAAGCAGTTGAATGCTAAATTAACTGTACATGGACGATATATCAGTTATCAATAAAGAAAGACGTAAATTTAATTAAATATGAATTCATACATAGAAATTGATGTCAACAGATAAATTTGTTAGTGAGATAAAAATAATGCTATTTATCGTAATAAAAATTATGTTGATAAAAATAAAATTTATTGGCATCAAATTGAACTGTGAACTTATGAAAATGAAAAGTAACACATAATGCTACTGAATTATTGCTACAAAAATGGACAATTGAGAGATTTCGATGATGTTTGTAATAAATGATTATTTCAAAATTATTATTAAAAAAATTCACCTTGCTCAAATTATAATTTAAAAAATTTTAAACCAATCAATTCCTCAGTAGTTAAAAATTATCTTAAATATAAATAAATCTTCTCCCTTTTATTATATTTCAAAATTTTACCAAAATTTAATTAAAAGCGAAACATAAATTAAGATAAATGAAAATTAAGAAAAAGTAATGCATCAAACGACTTACCGAAAACGATCGAATGAAATATCTGAAGGATCTGTTATTGCTGAAATGAAATTTTATTATTTTAAAATCATGAATGAATCAAAATCCTAATTTTAGCTTAAAGCAAAAGAAGTTAAAAAAGAAGATAAAGTAACTGATGATGATTTCGTTATTTCCACAAATACTGGAAGAAAAAATTGTTATCAATTGATAATTAAAAAATTAATAAGCAAATTGTTAATTCAATTTTAAATATTTTATGAAAAAGAAAACGAAAAGCACATTTTTTCAAAATTCAAAACTGCGCTATAAAATAGCTCATGCCAGAGATTTGTAATAATAAATCTTTTGCGGAGAATAATCATTTTTTCGCTCAGTTAAAATCCGGCAGCTTTATTTTATTTCCATAAGCGGAAAATATTGAAAATATTATTTTCAGGTGATTTATTTTTACTGAAATATTGAGCAATTTAATGGATTAAAGCATCTCATAAATTTTTTGTGCTGCATTTTATCTTATCAAAAAATTATTACCGTTTGGATCAGCAAAGATTTTATTTTGAAAAAAAAAAATTTGGCACACAGTGAAAAAAGGGAAAATTTCAGCATTCAAGATAATGACAATGATAATAATGATAGTAGATATGCTAACAATAATAATAATGTTAATAATTATAATCATAATGATAGTGATCATTGTATAATAATAATGATAAAGTGTGTTTCACATTAAAGACACTCTCAGTTTTTTATCATTGATGTGATTCATTTCAAGTAACTTACTTCTAAAAGAAAGATAAAAAGAAAGTATGAATTGCACTTTAATGATATGATCAATTTATTTTATTGAACTGATAAATACGATGTAAAATGATAAGTATTGTCAGTAGTATCTTAATGTTTGCTTGAATAGAATATAAATCTTGTAGAAGATACTTACAATAATACTAATGTCTTATAATTTATCATGAACTCTCAGAAATACTGTGGCATCTATTCTGATATTTTTTAATTATCTTCTTCTCTTTCTTCAAAAAAAAAAAAAGACCAGTTGAATTATAAATCGTAATCTCTTCAACTTCCTTTAAAATTTAAGTTAAAAGGAAGTTAAAGCAAAAATTAGCAAAATTTTATTTATTACTTTTATTATTTTCATATTTGCTTAATATGATTCAAATATATAGAAATCTATTTGCTTTTTAAAATTAAGTAAAAAATTCTTCAAAATTTGAAAAATTTTTGCTCAAAAAATCAGTTTGTCTATTTTCCATAATTCATTCATTCATTCATGCATGAATGCATGCAAAAGAAAATTAATGAGCGTTATTTATAAAAGAAATTTTAAGGTAAGCTAAATGGGAATTGAAAGAATTTTGATTATTCCAAAATAATCCATTTGCTCCTCCTAAGGCTTTTCTCAAATGTTTTATAATTCATCCAAAAAAAAAAAANATATTCTTGCCAGTTTGCTTCGTTTAAATTTTTTTATTTTCCAAAAATTTTTTTCATTAAAACAAAAGCGCGCTTTTTTTTTGCTATAATTTCATGACCATTGCTAGTCCCATTCGTCTTTTTTGTTTCTGTTTTCTTTAAAGCCAATTTTCTTTTCAAACCAATTTCTTTTTTGTTCTTAAATTCATTTCATTTTTTTTAATTGAAATTTAGCCAAAACGATATGTGGAATAATTCCAGGATTTGCATAATAAATGCCAAAGAAGAATATTCTCTAATATAGTGAGTTTTTTTTTTTTTTTTGTTCTGCAAAATATTCCGACATTTTATCTTAAAATGGAAAAAAGAAATCCTCCGAGTTTTATAAAATATATTTTTTCAGAGCAGTACATTTTTCAAATATTCAACAATTTGCTTGAAATAAAAATTTAAGAAAAAAAAAACGAGATCTTCTGTTTATAAGATATTTTTCATATCTTTCATTATTTTCAGTTGAAATTTAAAAAAGGAATTAAATGGTTCTTAATCATATCATAAAAAACTACAATATTAAGTATGACCTAAAATTTTGCAAATTTATTTAATACAATACAAATGCATCTCATAAAAAATCGATTTATACATAAATATCAATAATTTTTTTTTTTTAAACTTATGTCATAGTTTAGTATTTTATCATTCACAGTGAAGTAATTTCATGGTAAAGACTGAGTGAGCGAGAATCCGTGAAGACTAGCAAGTCAAAAAATATCATAAAAAGATCAAGAAATGCATGGTGATATCCTTAAAAGCTGTTAAAAATGAACTTTATAAGTATGCAAATTAATTTTTTAAACCATTTCATAGTAACAAACGAATACATTCATCTTTATTAGTTAGTTAATATATATGCTTATTTAATTGCTTGTAATAATTATTTTATAGTTTAAACAACAACTTAACATATTGTTAAATTGAATTGGAATTTTTTGAATGTTTTCATAAAAACTACTTATTAAATGAAAACTATAATTTTAATTGAAGTTAGAAAATATAATATCAAAAATTCATATTTTTATCAATTTTTTTTTTTGTCATTTGTTGACACACTTCTTTTCTATATATTCAATTTAAAATTATTAAATGTTAAAGTTGTTCTATATTTGTAAGATTATTGGAATTTATGTTGTTCTTTTTATTTGCATATTGCTATGCAAATTAAAATCTACAATGGATGATTTTGATGAATTATGATTAATAATAATGGATTGCTAATTTATCATCCATAATGATCTAATTACCAGTAGCATTGTCTTATTCTGATATGCAAAATTAAACAATTCTATAATGCAAATAGTAATGCTTTATTTAAGTTTGAATTGTTTTGCAAAAATTACTTTTATAATAAAATAAATATTGGGTATTATTGTATAAAATAACATAGACTGTTAACTATTTTTATCAATAAAAATGTTATTAATATTGTTGTTACTGTTATTACCATCATTACTGTTATTACAATCATTAGCAATTTATACAAGCCCACTTTTACATTCCTTTTCTAAACAATAATTTTATTTTTTGCTGAAAGTTATATCTGTAACAAATAGAGGATGTGAAAAAAAAAAATTCAATAAATTCGATGAATGAATATTGCACTATATAAAATTTAAACTTTTTAACAAATTTCAACTTATTCAAATTCAAGGCAATTATTAGCCAATTAAATAAATGTCAAAAAAGTATTAAATTAGCTAATAGCAAATTGTATTATGCATTAAATTAACTTATCAATTAATGTTTTTTTAATAAAAAAATTGCGATGTGCATTAAATTAATTTATCAATTAATTTTTAAATTCTTTAAAATAAATATGCTAAGGTGTCAAATGATTTTTAAACAAGCATGTTAACATTAATTCCGATTTAATTAATACTATCAAGTAATTGCCTAACTAATTCTAGCAATGCTTAAAATTTTTTTGAATTTCAGGAAAAATAAAAAAAAATTGACAGTTGCAAAATTTACCCTGGCAAGAGATACCCGTATAACAAGGTTGCTCATCATCGGGTCGATCAATACTTTTGCATGCGTAATCATTGATTCGTTCACCTTCCTGTCGACATTCAACCTGGATTGATAAAAAGAATAACCACCATAATTTTTACTTCTTCTTGTGTAATTAATTATTAAACAGCATAATTACTTTTACATATGTGTACAATTTAATAAATCCGTCACAATCATATTGAATACTGCTTTTACTTTATCAAACTTCGCTTATGTATCATCTCAAATATTCTATGCTTTAATTTCAATTCTCTTTTTTCTCTGTAATTTATTGAAACTAATTGATTAATTTGATTATTCTAAATTTATCACCTTTCTTGTACGGAAACCTTTGCCACATGTAACAGAACAAGAAGTCCAATCATCTTTTTCCCATTTTGGACAACTTTTCCTACCACATCTTCTGCTTGTTGCCTAAAGAAGGAAAATTAATTGTACAAAACATAAATCATAATTTGAACTTTTTCCTTCTAACCAAATGGATTTCGGTATTCCGATTGTAAATTATTCTATTAAATATAGTTTTCGATTCAATTATTTCAATATAAACTTGACATTTCAACACACAGAAAATTAAATAATCAAATCTAAATTCTAAAGCGATTAAAAAATTTATATCTTATAAAAACATTACAAAGTTAAGTATGCAAAAAATTATGCATATTTTTGAATTAATTATAAAAACAGAATTTTTAGGAATAAAAAAAAAACAAAACAAAACAAAACAATTTACCAGACTAAGAGTTAAATTTTGAATAATTTAATTAAGCTTGAGTTTTTTTGATTTCTTATGTCTTATCTACTAATCTATTATTATTTAATTTTGACAAAATAATTTTAAATATTCTTTAAAACATTTCTATATTATACCGGTCGATGAGTTTGCCAGCAGTATTGATCGTCAACTTTCCGATTTTCCATGACGATACCGTTTGTATCGTTTGAAGTTTCAACGCAATACACCGTTCTTGTTTGATATCCACCATTACACGATACCGTACACTCCGACCATTTCCCAATCATCCATCTAAAATAGAAAAAATATTTCAAAAAATTTTTACATTAAAAAATTTAAAAATTAAAGCAAAAAAAGGAATTAAAACTACTATTTACATAACGAATATTTGAAGAGTAATATGTACAATAATTATGAATGTTATGCTTTATACTTATATAATTAAAAATAAAGTTATATCAGTTCAGAGCACATTTTTCTTTTTTTCTTTTGAGAATAATTAACAAAAAAACAATCTTTTAAAATAAAATTTTATTTATTTTTTTGCATAATTAGTACATATTACTCAATAAAGCGATTTTGTTATTCAATAAAGCATTAGCAGATGTCAGCATAAAATATATTATATTTCCGAAGGATATAGTATAAGCTAATAGAAAAGAATGTAATATTTAAATATAAACTATCGATTAAATTTTTGCATTTTTTAATGCTGCAAAAAAATTTGAATTATTATAAAAAAATGATGGAATATCCGTCAATTATGCTTATATAACAAAGGCTAATTCAATTGTTTTTCTTAGCAAAAATTTAATTTAACAAATTCACTCTTTTTTTGTAATCTAATTCAATTCAATTTGATATTTATAAGCAAATTATGTAAAATTTTACCACTAGATCAAAATTTAAATTTTTATAGGATTGCAGAAATAAATTTAGCAGTTCCATTTCCTTATTTTATCCTTTCATTCATTTATTTCGTTATATATTATCAATTTAATCTATCTTATCAACATATTTTTTCTTCTCTTAGATTATGTATTTCCTTCGGAAACATTTTAAGCATAAAAAATGAAGTTTAAAGCCATTCCAAAAAAACACGAAATGTGTTTTGCGTTTTTTGTGGCGAAAAGAAATTTGTTTATTGTTTACTCCGTTTCCACGTTTCGTTTCCAATTTTTTTTTTTTGTAACAACAATAAACAAATAAAAAAAACTTTTGCATGCTCTGAATTATTTTCTTTAAATAAGTGTTATTTTTGTTGAATTTTTACTACTATATAAAAAACAATATATCGCGCAAAATACTATGTTAGAATTTGACGTTATCGATTAAAATTTCCATAGTATCTTGAAAATCACTTATTATTCTCAATGTTGCATAATTTTATGATCAAATAAACGAATAAATTTTTAACTTATTACAATCGATATTTATCGAAATATCCGAATAAATTTTTAACTTATTACAATCGATATTTATCGAAATATCGAATTGGGACGAAATATTGTGCTTCTATAATTTTCAAAATTATTACATTTTCAATACTAATTTTATTTTTTTTAGCATTAACTTTATTCTAACCTACAGTTAGAAATTTTTTCAAACTTCAAAATTTACGAAATTAATGAAAAAGCAACAACTATAAAGCAAACGAAAACTGGAAATCACACTCCTTATTTAATTATCATTTGCATGCATGCAGTTTAGGATGAAAAATGAATTTGAAAGATGGATTGGGCAACAATGAAAATACAAAAGCACCAGTTAAGGTTAATCAAAAAACGAATTAATTAAATAAAATTTTGAAAAAATGTGGGAAATTTTAGGATGGAATTGTACAAATTAATATTACTCAGAAATTCCAAAATTACTATGTACTTTTTTTGTTAAGAATTTAAAATATAAGTAAATCACCGCATTGCCAGCATATCGGCACACGCCGTAATCTAAAAAACTTTTATACCCTTCATTTTTTTCTCTCTCTCTCCACGACATACAAATGCATGCAGAAAATTCGATTGCAATAACCTGCAGCTGAAAATTTCATGATAGTATTATAACATTGGGATAAGTAATTCTTATGCTACATTTGCGCTCCTGCAGAAAATATTCATTGCATGAAATTTTGGAAAAAAAAAGTTTAATGGCAAGTTATATATTAATTTTTGTTTATTATTAACGCTACTAATTTAGCTAAATTTACGGTTATATTAATTGAAAAATAGAAATTCGCTATGGCGCAATTGTTGCATTATGGCTAAAAAATAAATCAGCTAAGCACAGTTCGCAAAAGCGAAATGAAAATTAGTTTGTGTATTTGAAATATTTCCAACAAGTGATTTTACAAATTCATAATAGGTGCAGACAGGTACGTTATCAAAAAACAATTACAATTGTGCTTGAAATTAGCACTGAATGATTTGTTATCAGTGTTAACTTACTGGTATGATACGGTAATCGATGGTCTGAAGAATAGAATGATAATAGTAGTTGTAACTGATAACAATTTCATTGATAATAGAAGTAATTAATGATAACAGTAAGCAGAGAATTTCTTTTTTCTTTCCTCTTTCACACACTCTTTCCTTCTCTCTCTCTCCCCCCTTTTTCGATTTTTTATCGTGCAATAATTAAAGATAATCTTGCAATAATTCGTTCTTTTTTTTTCAAAAAAGAAAAAGATCGCGTAGTATAAAGAAGATTAAAAACGACGAGAATCAGTAATTTAATACTTTTTTAAAATAATGCTTTCAGTAAGATAGTAATTAAATATGAAATAAAATAAATATACTGGAATAATTTTTAGCATTTTTCAGATCACAATATTATCAGGCGAAAATGTAAAAGAATCATTGATACAGATTAAGTTTAAGGGAAAAAAAAAGGAACAGAAGGAATGATATGAATGGTTTGATTCGTCATTTTTATAAGTGGAAGAAGATACTTTTATAAGTGAAGCATATAATTATGAAAAAAAAAAGAAATAAACGTAATATTATAGTGGAATAAAAATTGACTGATGGGCGGAGCAAACTTTGTGATGATTTTTATTTTTTGATAAAAAAAAAAATGAAAAGCGAAAATTTGATTTGAATGAAATGAATGGATGAATGAAATAGATGGAATGGAATGGAATGAAATGAACAATGAAGAAGAATAATAAATGGTTGAACATATTTCTTCAATGGTTGATCACTTCTTAATCGTTATGATGAATTAACAAAATGACAGTAATACTTGAACTTTTGTCATTTTTGGTGATTAAACATACTTATGAAGTAAATTTTGAAAATTTTAAAAATATGTTAATCTATTATTATTACTACTATTACTACTACTGCTCATACTAATAACAAAGTCTATTCAATCGGCAATTTATATTATGTTAAAAGCAAAAATTTTCGTTAAAATTTGTTCATAATGGAAAAAATCTTTTTTAAATAAATAAAATTTGCAATTTAATATAAAACAAAATTTATCTGAATTTATCTGAATAAAGTTATCTGAATAGTTTTATATATGAGAAAAGGAAAGAATGAAATGAATAAAAAAAAATTTTTTTTTTTATCGTAAAAATTTTGCAAATGGCTCTTATGACAAACTGTTTGGTTGAAACATAAAAGAAAACATAAATTTAAATTGATGAAGGTATCATTTTTTTTTTGGAACCAATAATTAAATTAAATTCTAGCATAAATTGCGATATTTAAATCAAAAAACACATTAGTAGCGAAAAATAGGAAGAAAAAAGGAAAAAAAAAGTCTAATTCTTTTTTACAAATAATTTTGACTTATAATATCAAATAAAATTTAAATGGTGGATGATGAAATATGGATAGAATGATTTTTTTTAAAGGAAAAAATGCGAACCAATTTGTTATTCGTAAAAATGCTAAATAATTGGAATGAAAAATAAATAAATTTGAGATATATCTCGATGAAAAATGTCGAAAAAAAAGCACTTAGAAATACTGGAAATATAAATTCTAATTAATTTAAAA